TAGTTATAAAATTGAGTATTTGTTTCAATGCTACAAATAGCTGAAAGTCTGCTTAAAGTTACCATACTGTCAGGGTCTCATGCTGGACCTTACCTAGTATATAACACAAAATCTAGTAGAAAGTGCTTTTGTTTGCTCTTTTTTTTAATCATAATTGAGTTGTGTGAACATGGAGGTGTAGTCATTTTTCAAACTGCCTGACACCATCAGCATCAGTTTGTGTATGCTCCTCCATGCACTTTACAAATTAGCAAGGCTACGTTCTGGCAGAACCGATGTGCCGACCCTTAATGATGACTCATAAACACGACTCGGCTCCAGCGTCTGACATCTGTCTCTTCGCCGCCCTCTCACCTTGACTTTCTACGGGTCAGTGGCAAGATGCGCCTTTATTCTCTTAGTGGCCTATTAAAGGCTCTCTTTCTCGCTTGTTACATCTTTCTTTTGGTGTAACTTTCACTTTAACAGCTCCTCCCGAAGGTCGAGCTGAGAAGAGGTCAACAGAACTGCACCTCTCTTCCTTACAGCGTTCTTCCCCATCAGTAATGAAGCTCTTAGATTCCCTCTGCGGCCTCTCGAGCTCTCCGGCCTGTCACAGAAGATCGCACGTTCAGGCCCGTGTTGCCGCGCTCCGCTGTTTGGAGTCATTTTTCAGTCGGCGAGTGCTCGCCGTCTAAGCATCGTCCTTCTTAATTAGTCGTTCCACGGTGTACTTTCCATGGCAAATTAACCGATTTAGTCCAAGTGAGCGGTGGAAACGATGAGGTGAGGTATAATTACATGCCCTTTCAGGGACCCGCTTTTGTTACGTGCACCTTTCTTTTTCCAGGCCTGGCACTTGAGAGTGTAGAAGTAGAGGAAAAACCAGAAGCAGAAATGAGAAGACAAAAAGAGAGAACAAAGAAAGAAAACCTGCTGGTAGTCTGTTTCTATACATAAAGCCCTGGTTCCCCCCAGCTGTTTGTAACTAATAAGAACAATGTAGGTTCCTGTCTGTCCCAGTGGGATCCGGCTCAGCTCAGTCGGACATGGCTTGCAATTTTAGAAGCTACGCCAAAGTATATGATCATCCAGTCGGGTCTCAGATTTACACAGAGCCGTGTAAGCTTCGCCACTCAATTTGTCATGTTTTCATTTCCACTCCTACTTACCTAATTGGTTTTTAATTCATTTAACCAATAATAACACAGTTAACAGGTTCAGGGGCGGTATTTGAATAGAGTAGATTGTTTTGGCAAGTTTTACTCAGCACCTGCTACCAGTCCATGCTGGCAGATACAACCATGAAATTGATGCCCCGCTCTTGGCTGTCACCTACATTACAGCTCGGATATAACCCAGGGTGATTACAGGCTCTGTTCTGGAGCGGTCACACCTTAAACAAACACCACCTGTGTGACCAGGATTGGACTTCGGGGCTGTTAGGTGAACATTGTGTCTCAGCAGGGAGGCTATGTGTTGTGATGTCTCTACACAGGTCACAGAGTTTACTTTGAATGTCCTCTTTTTTTTATTATTTGCCTGGAGACATGACATGACAGTATTACCTACTGTATACATGTTTTAAATTGGATGTACAATGAAACAAACTTTATTTGATAGACTGCATATCACCTGCTGCAATCTGATAGGGCTCAGAGTAGGAGGCTGGAGGTCACTCTCAGCTAAAACCACATCATCGTTAAGCATGAGCTTGTGCGTTAGCAGTGGGAGTATGTGTTGTGAATGACTGTTAGCTACCATCATCAAATTTTAGCAGCAAATCTGTCAAATTCAGAGTTGTAGTCATGTACAGTATATCTTTCCAGAGGTCAATCAGCTGTGGTGGCCATATTGAATCAGGTTGACTCTAAAACTTAATTTGTCCAGTAGTTTATTAAACATTTTGCTAACAGACAATCAGGGTTGACTCCAATGGTTATTGACAACATCCATCCATTCGCTTCTTCCATTTTGGGTCACGGGGGTCACCGGTGCCCAACATTTAAGCAAATATTCTAAGCAATCTCTTGGCCACACTCATATGTGTTGGGGCAGAGTCCCAGCTACTACCACACCAAATCTTAGATCACAATCTGTAAAACTTTTCAAGTTAATTATGTGTTTGCTTAGATCAATTATCTCTGGTGTTCGTCTTGAATTGGGTTGATTCTAAAAGTTGTCAGAGGTTTTATTGTTATTTCAGCTATGTACAAGTACATATCGAAACGAAACAGCGTTCCTCCAGGATCACGGTGCAACATTATGTGCAAAAACAAAGCAACACACACAGTGCAGATACACAACAGTACAGTAAATACAAGCAGACCTATAATAAATACAAAAACACATCTGATCTAAACATTTTAATCTAAACAAGTAATTAAGAGACAAGACTAGAGACACATGTTGATTAGTACATGTGTAGGTGGTGCATGAAGTAGAAACATGTTCCAATTTTGTAATAAATAAATAATAAAGTGCTATGTGTTGTCATTGTATATTCCCATTCAATGGCAAAATTGGTTTTCTGCATTTGACCCAGCACAGCTGGGGTACACCCAGATGGAGCAGTTATGTGGTTAGCAGCACAAAGTTTTTCTATTTTTATAGCAGCAGAGATAAAAACTGAGTAAGGTGCAAAAATGCAAAACTTGAGCAGATTGCAAAAAACATGCAAGTAAAGAAGTCACAAACAGTGCATCACAGCACAGCAGTTGTGTGTGTTTAGGTTGTGTGTGTGTGTCAGTGTCTATCATGAGTGTGTGTGTGTGTGTGTGTCAGAGATTTAGATGTACAGCGACTGGGTGTAATTGCATTGTTGGGTGCAGGTACAGTAGGTTACTGTAAACCTTATCAAAAGAGAAAGCAGACTTCATAAAAACAAACAAATGAATAAATAATGATAATTAGTATTGTAAAACTTGAATATAAGTTTTAACTAAACAAAAACAGATATCAAAAACAGATATAATTTAGGATAAAAGACGAAACGTTTCAACAAAGAAGAATCTGTCCAGAGGACCTGACTTAGGCCCTGTTTACACAATAACGATCCAATGAAAACAGAATTCGTTTTCTCATTTCTATTAACACATTTACATGAAAATGTTCTTATTACAATCTCTGTTTACAAAGCAACGGTAGACGTGGAAAAGATGTAATTCCCTCACCACGTCACTAGTTGGTGCTATGTTCTTTGAAACTTGAAATTTGTGCGCATGCGTTAACCCCCCCTCCCCCCCCGTTCTAGACGTTTGAACGTTTTTCTCACGAGAAAACTGCCATAACAAAAGCCCACATGATGTCTAAACTGAAAGCAGCCCGGGGAAATCAGATTTATAGATTTATAAGAGTCAGAAGCACAAACAATACTCTGGTATCTGCCATTGTCGATAGTTTCTTCTTCTGTGGATTGTAGGAAGCCGTCATGTTTTGTGTCATACTGCGCATGAGCCAGAGATTCCCTGACAGAAAACATCTATTTTTTTCTGTTTACACGACAACGGACACTGGGGCGTTTTTGAACCACTGCACTCTGGAACCTGTTCTCAAATAGTGCCATTGTCAGAGAAAACATTTGCTGTTTTCATGTAAGTGAACAGTACAAACGCAACGAAACTCTTCCATTTTCACCAGAAATTGTTTTCATGTAAACAGGGCCTTCACCTTGTTAGATTTTTCTTTCCGGATTACTGATCATGCATCAGGACAAAAACAGATTATCATCCACAGGGATATCTGGGGCCTTTAGTAATCACTGTGGCCCAGATCAGGTGCACTTTTGCTTAGATCCCCTTAACATAAAAAATTTTTATTTCATTTTTGACTATTGGTCAATAATGAAAAAATAAAATTAAATAAATACATTTAACCACAAATCTTTGATTTAGTTTCTGGAAAACTCCGGTATCATCAGCATTTCACGTTACCAAATACAATCAATCATTTTGCTCAGATGTGAATAATCTCACAGCAACTTTTAAGCTTCTTCAAGTAGTAGATCACCCCGTTTGATGTAATCAGTAAATCTACTGAGCAGCTTGTTTGGAAGTTCTTTTTTTTTGTCCTTGAGCTCTGCGCACCGTGCTCATTAGATGTAGCGTGGGAGTCAATGGTGTGACAGCAGATACATCACACAACCACACCCTCCTCAGTTCCAGCTGAAATGCCAGTGAGCACTAGGCTGCTTGTTCAGACACCTTTGTTCCTTCATCTTCTTCTTCTTCTTCCCACCTGAGTGACCAACTTCACCTCCTCCCATGTGTGAAGGAGGGGATCAAATGACAACTCATCACTCAGTGACAGCTGACCACTTTCTCGCCCGGGCAGCGTGCTTTGATGACGCTGACTTTCTGTCACATATCTCATACAACAGACAAACAGTTGTGCCGTGACCTGAATTTTCAGCAGCAATCTTTAATAAAAATATTGCACTGCATCTAGAAAAATGCTTTACAAGATTTTCTTGAAGGTTTTTCCCTTTTATATTAAGTTCCTCCAAATATGTAACCTGTAACGACACTGTTACAGATCACACTTTATTAGGACATTCAAAGAAATTCATCTTGACTTTATACTTCAGGTGAGTGAAACTAATCAGTATTATTGTTGCTTTAATTATAAAAGTTTCATTAAAACAAATTTGCATTTATTTGACTAAAACAACACATAAATGTGCTTGAAATTTGGATAATACATGTATTAATAAATTAAACAAGTTTCACGAGTGAAGTTTTAGCCATAACCAGATCAGTTGACGGGCACCCTGGGCACTGAATGATGGTTTTCGCAAGGTCTTCAGTTGCGTCTTAAGAATGCAGTAGAGCACGGTAGGTTGACAATGGTTTTGAGAATCTACAAAACTTCAGTAGAGAGGTTGAAGTGGTTGGTTATCAAGGTGGGAGCCTATAATAGTCCTGGGTGGAGCTTGGCGGAGCGTGGTGGCAGTATATCCATGAGACCGAACTCCCATACTTTGGTCTGTTTTTGGCTGTTGGGAATTTCAAGGTCATAGAAACATGGCTCCAAGGTGAAATCTGTTGAGAGTTGTGCTATGTTGGCTGTTGGATAAAATATCCTTGCATTATCTACTTAAAAGGAACCACACTTGATGAGAGGAGAAGATTTAAACCCAATTTACTTGCAAAGGCCGAGTTCACAACAAGCTGACACAGGTGTTTCATTCATGCCCGGTCATGAGGATCTGCATCGGACAGGATACAAGAAGTGTTTTTTTATACACGCTTATCAGCACGACGACCTCAGACTCTCAGCTCACAGACTCTGAGGTGACCTTGGAGTATCAGCTGCACATGCAGCTCCTCATTCAGGTCTTTTTGCTAACTCAAACACGCAGCTATCTAAAGTGTGTTGAGGGTGCAGAAGAGCATCTTGAGGGAGTGGGGGGATGGTAGGAAAACGCCTTTTTGATGAATACGAAGAGTAGCATCATCATGGTTTCTCATCAAAACTTGTGTGGATGGGGATACAAATGCAGGATTTTTTTTTTTTTATTAGCCCAACTAATGTGGACAGGGCCTTGATCGACCAGAATCTGACTCTGAATTACCAGCAGCACAACTGGATGCAACATCAACAATTATATACTTGTTCACTTAGAGTTGGTAAAAGAGTGCATTACTGCAGTGGCTTTTATGTTCCTTTAGATTATTTATGTGCAAAACATGCAAGCAAAAAGTGAGAGACATATTTGTTGTTTCACCTAGGCATAAAATGGACACCACAGAATTTTCATTTTTAATTTTGTCCCATATCTAATTTTTCACCTTTAACAAAAATCTATGTCTTCGGGGCTTCTGTTCTATACAGAGAATAGTTGAATCAGTCATTGGAGGGATTAACAGTTGGACAACAGAAAAAAGACATTTTCCCTGTTGAGAGAAAATACAATCGTACTGTTAAGCAGTAATTACCAATGTGGATAAATGACTGGTATAAAAGGGTGAATGTGGACTTGGGGAAGCTGTTTTCCCCCCACTAATGGCTAAATAAGCTGCTATAATCTATCAGCTCTTGGTTTTGTCGCAGCTGCTGTATTCTTTGCTAAATGCAGGGTCCTCAATCGTTTGTTCCTACATGAAGAAAAATTGAACAAATGCTTTGCAAGGCATCGAATCATTCATAAATACTACGATTTAACGCAACATGAGAAAAGCTTTTATCTCAATGCTTCTACCAGCCTCACATATTCAGAAACGTGTTGGGGTGTGTCGAGGATACAGCTCTAATTAGAGACTGGTCTCCTTAGGGTTTTCTTCTTGTAATGATCCCCCTATGAATCAGTATCTTTACATTGTTTTTGTCTTTCTTGTCTTCTAACTATCCTTTTTGTTGGTTTGTTTGTCAGTGGGCAACATTTTTCCCCAGTGGGCCAATTTAAGATATTTTACGAAAATAAAAGGTTGCATAGAGAATAGAAAAATAACTTTCCTTTAGGATGGATAATCAGGTAATCATTCAGACTTATTAGTTGTTGTTGTTGTAGCATGCTTATTTATAAAAATAAAATAAATAAATAAAAATGTGTGTCCACAATACTCTTCAGAGTACAAAACAAAATTTTGTGTAAAATTGCTGTTATGACAACATATATGTGATCATATACTTAATATGTAAAAAAAAGACAATGATAATCAAAATATATACACAAAATATACAGTATGTTTGATTTTTGGAGTCTTTATGGTTCAGTCTAATACTGGAAACACAACA